AATTTTCCTGAGAAGCCGCTAATTCCATTGGCTCTACCAAAATATTTAAAAACACATAACTGAATTCCAAATAAAACAAAATGATGTTTTGTATTTTTGGATGTTTATTACATGAATTGGAACGGATTTTTATAGTTAACCTTCATATTTCTATTTTGATAAATCCTCAGATAAACAAAAATCACAGTTTGAAAAAAAAAAAAAACTACTCCAAAAGAAAAAATCTTTATATATTGCATTTTGACGGTCATCGTATTGTAAAAAAAAAAAAAAAAAAAAAAAAAAGTTAAGATAACGGGTATGTATTTTTTAAATACTTCAAAATAAAAATTCAAATTTTAAAGTAATAAGTACATGAAAAATAACATTGCATATTTCGAAAATATCACTTTGTTGGTTTTTTTAATACAAAGCTATACAATGGAATAGCTGCAATCCGTCCACCACGTAGAAACTGACCCCATGCAGGATCTTAGCATTGTAAGTTCGTAACCGTTTCGCTGACCCACCGGGGGACTAAAATATTTAATATAGTTAAAGAAAGAACAGTTTACATTTCGAAAACACATTATTACAAAAAGTAAAGTTATTCCTGCTTAAAATTATACAGATGACTGCGAAATTGTTAATTTAATTGAGAATGAATTGTTATAATAGGATGCGGTTACAATCTAAACAATACGAAGTGTGAATTAAACAATAATTTATCAATGAAAATATAATTGTTCCGTATTCAATAATATGTCACTACTCTAGTATGTTACACTGGTTTGAACTAGGTAATAGTATTAAATAAGACTCCTGGAAACAATTTGTAATTCAGTTTAATGATTCTGATATTCTCAGGAGGCTGTAACCCACATGTAGCTGGTACTGAAAATCTTTTCGTCTGTATGAAAATTGTTTAGCCATTATGATAAACCATTTTCTTTCAGCAATGTTTCTATCATTATTTGAGCATAGTAAGAAAAACATTGACAACTTTTTAAAACTGCAACCTAGGCTTTTTTGTAGCCTGTATACGCACTGAAGATAATTGAAGAGTTCTTTGAACTACAACCTGAGAATGTTGTAGTCAGTATACGCACCAAAGATAATACATTAATCTTTCATTTTGCAACTTTCCAACGTTTGAAAAAACGGTATCTTTACGTTCTAGGTTGGTATGCTTGTACAATGTACAATTCATGCTGTGCAAGCTGCGCGTTGATTAATTAGAAAGTGTAGACCCATAATGAACTGTTTGATACATGACTGGGTGAGGATTTTTGTTAGTGAAACAACTTGAATTTCAGGATGAACGATTTCAGTGTTCGTATAAACAAATAATGGGAATTGTCATATGGCAGTTGGAGAACCGCCCTTTGCACTTAATATTTTCTTCCCGTCGGATCTAAGTCCACATCACGATATAGATTATACTCTTTCTACATATTGGTAATACGAGTGGAAGACTATAGAATTTCATTCGGAAGGAAAAACTTAGAAAGCAAATAAGACATCGGGCACATACAGATATATATAGACTGATGTTTAAGGACAAACAGAGAAAGTGAATAACACAAATACATTCCATAAGCAAACCCTCTCAATTATTTCTTCAGTGGTCGAGAATAAAATAATTTTGGAAACTTCAAAATAATATTAAAAACACCAATTACTTTCGAGAAGCTAAAATTTTAGGTCAAAATTTATTTTCGTCTTGAAAGGGTTTATTCAAGTCATTTCATAATTAATCATAAAATAGTTTTAGTTTAACATCATATTTTCTAAAGTTGTTTAACTTATCCATTAGAGAGCGATACCTGACAAGATAATCAACTTCTCTGCTCCAGTGATTTATTGGTAATTTTGAGGCTTATAAAGCTACAATTCTGGTTTTGATACCCACGGTGGTCAGAGCACAGATATTCCATTGTACATCTTGGGGCTTAACGACAGTCAATCAAATATGACCAACCAACATTTCCTCCCCTTCCCCACATCTACATACCCGAAAAGTAGCGTACAGGGCCTTTATATAGGAAATACCATATTTAGGGAAACATAATTTCCCCAAAGGCACATTGAGAACCATAAGGTTTATTCAGGAAAGTTTAGACATGATACATTTTGTTTAAAAACATATTACATACTTCTTCTTTTTCCCTCTTTCAACAATATGAGATTGACAATTTGGATAAAAGGCGTATGAGCATGCAGAGTAGTGCCAGAATCAATGAACACTGTCAAAAACACATGATGTTTGCAGTAGCTTCATTTAGTTATAGGCTTGATATGGTAATTTAGAATGACGGAAAACACACTCAACACCTTCTGTGACAGTTTTGAAACACCATGTAAAATGCCCAAACTTTCCTGAATAAACTTTTAACTTTTGGTGTGTTTCTGGTAGATTTTTAGCTCTCTAGGACAAATAGGCTTAAGATATAAACATTTTAAATATAGATTTTCTTTCCAATTTACCTTAGAACTTATGTAACGGATAACACAACCAGTAGAGTGCTAAATCCCTGCCTTGCATGAACTTGACGTGATATATGTGTTTATGCCGTCATGCTGCATGGTTTTTGTATGTAAAAAAAGTTGTTGCATTTATATGTTTAAATAATATTAAAGAGTATCGTTAAATGTTATTTATTCTGATCGAAGGTTATTTCGTTATTTTTATTTTTGTCACTGAAGGTTACAATCTAGTTCACAATATAGATTGTGAACCAGCGTATCACTGAATCAAAAGCTTTTTTTTCATGATCCCCTGAAATTTATAATTCACATAAAACACATAACTGAAAACACAAATAAAACAAAATGATGTTTTGCATTTTTGGAATGTTCATTACATGAACAGGAACTAATTTTTGTAGAGTAATCTTCGTTTTTTACCTTGATAGATAAAGAAAGTTACTTTAAGAAAACTACTATAAAAGAAAAATTGTTATATTGCATTTTAATGGTCATTATATTGGGAAAAAAAGATTATTTAAGATAACCGCTATTTCAAGAAAACAACAATTTGTATTTAAAAAAGAACACTTCAAAATAAAAACCGTTATATCGCCTTTTGAAGCAAATTCTAAAATAAAAACTGCTTAAAATGATAAGTACATCAAAAAACAACATCGCGTACTTCGAAAATATTACTTTGTTGTTTTCTTAGTGCAAAGCTTTACAATGGGCTAGCTGCACTGTGTCCACCCATGGGAATCGACTCGAGTATTGTAGCATTGTAAGATCGTAAGCTTACCGCTGACCCACCGAGGGATTAAAAATTGTACTATATAGAAAGAAAGAACAGCTTACATTTCGAAAATTATTACAAAAATTAAGTTATTACTACATAAAATTATACAAATAATTGCGAAATTGTTAACTTCATTGAGAATGACTTGTTATAATAGGATGTGGTTACAATTTGGACAATACGAAGTGTGAATTAAACAATAATCTACCAATGAAAATATAATTGTTTATTTTCTCTAGTATGCCACGACTGAAAAACCCTACATTGGTTTGAACTAGGTAAGAATTTTTAAATAAGACTCATGAAAATAACTTCTAATTCCGTTTGGTGATTCTGATATTCTCAAGAGATTGTAACCAATATGTAGCTGGTAATGAAAATCTTTTTGTCTGATAGAAAACTGTTCAGCCATAATAATGAACCATTTCCTCTCAGCTGGTATGGGGTAAAGTATCGGTAAGGACTATTCTATATACTACTTGAAGTGTAACAAGTTCACCATTAATATCAAAATGCGATTAATCACTTTGAAGAAATATTGTTGAAGTTTCGGCGCTGTGAAGTATATATATAGACTAATATGCTGAGAAACATATTATTTGTGTCATGATTCTAATCTACCAGCCAATTAAAATATACTTTTATAAAGTCTAAAGATACCTGCATTTATATGAATATATTTCTCTTAGTCCAATAATATTTGAATATTGATATCAACGGCGGCTTATAAAAATTGCCTTTATAATCGCTTGTTCTAATTTAAGTCATATATAATTTATTTTTAAATCACATTTAACAGTGGTCAGTTTCTTTTCAAAGACATCAGGACAAGAGCTGTCACCCTGTCTAAGGAGATTGACATTGCTTTTAAAAGTGAACAACGTTTCTCATCTATTTAATATATATAGACACAACTTCTAAAACAGTGGAAAGTTTTGATACCACCAAGGAACCAAATAATTTGGTAATGGTCACAGTAAATCTATCTATATTTCAGCAGGAAGAAAAATGGAGCTGATGAGACAACTATAACTTAACTATGGGCTTTGAATGTTATATAATATTGACTTTGACTTTCATGCATCAAGCTCATGATATACAGTCTTCTTTTCAGTGGAAGCTGTCCAAAAGATATATTATTTCCATCTTTCACATCTCAAGATAGATCAATAAAGATACTAACTTCAAAATTGTACTGTTTTCATTACTAAAAGCTAATAATCCGTAAAAAGAAATTATGATAATCATTATCATTAGAGAAGTAAATGAAATAACTAGTTACATGAAATCTAGAAAAAGGTATACAGAGGTTATTATAAAAATGTATCAATGTTATTTTGAGGCTTCATTTTTATAAAGCAGTAAATCTCTTATCAGGCAGATGATATGTTAGAAGAATACGTTAAAATATGACTGCTACATTTTTCGAAAATATAACTGAACTTTAAAATGTTCTCGTTTTTCTGTATGTAAAGAGTTTCCTTACAACCACATTTCTACCAAACGTATAATTTAACTTTAAGTTCCTAGAAGCAAGTGAACTATGCCACGTAAAGATATGTTTGTAAGATAAACTTTATGTTATACAATTCTTGTAAAAGTTTAAGCATTTTAAGGAATTTTCTATAAAAATTATGCAAATATGTTTTCTTGCAAAGAAAAATGGGCGCCAACACACTTCAGGAAATTTTGAAACTAATCAAAACACTTACAAAAGATGTGTTTAAGAAGCGGAAAACAGGGAAAAATAACTCACATCAACCTCAATACCATCTAAAGAGAATATCTGTTTCACAGGGTTGTCCATGGGCACGTAGCGGAAGAACTCCATGTCATCTCGGTACCACTTGACAGAGTAAAGATTCTCACCGTCTAAATTGTAGTCACACCTCAGCTGAAGCTCTTGTCCAGACTTCACTTTGTCCGGAAAATGCAATGAGACGATGTGAATTGCTGACACAGCTGAGTACATAGAAGACATTACTTTACTCATGACTTACTTTTAATATAATTATAGATATTCGCAAAGCGTTGAATATTAACAGAAAGCTAGAATGATGAATAAATTAACAGAAGCAAAATAATCTAACAACTTTGAAATAGATTTAGTTATTTAAATAAAACTAAAATAACTGTAGGGATATTAGAAGTACTTTCAAGGAAATGAAACAATGATATGTAGAATCACATGTAACTAATAGATAAGGTCAATCTAGAATTGAAGTAAACAGAAAGAGTTGGAGAGAAAGGTATGAAAAAATAATAATATTTACACAGCAAGAAAGATGAAAAGCTGAAGGAGTAAATTAAAGAAAGAGAAACAACATCAATGATTTCTTCTAAGCAGAAGAAATATGAGATGACGGAAGGAGATTTGTATGTTCTTAAGTAAAAGAACGTTTCAGTCATGTCAACCGAAACTATCAAACATTGAAAAGAAGATGAGGAATACGACTAAATATTTGAAGAGGATAACGTGGATGATGTAGGCAAAGAAAACTGATTCACGAAATACACAAGACATAATATAAAAGATTCATGCAAGGGTTGAAGGTGCAGAAACAAGAAATGAAAAGAAACGAAATAAGAGAGAGGAGGGTTTAGAACTGGATAAAGATAATTAGAAAAAACAAGAAATGCTCATAAACAATGAAATAAAGATATAGTTGAGATTAAGTAAGGGATGCGGATGCAGAAAGATAATAAGATAAACAATGAATGAAGAACGCAAGAGACAACGTAGTCGAAGTAGTAACAATAGTTAAATATTAGAAAAAAATAGTTGTATAAAACTGAATTAAGTTTAATAAAATAATTAATTTTTATCCGTTCTATGAATAGAAAATAATAATTTTCTCATCGACCTATAACCTCACTTCACCAAGATTTATATAAAGATTTTATTCAACTCCATATTATACTGTTTTTTAAATAAAAATATACATATAAAATATAAATTTGTGTTATAACTACAACAACCTACATGTATAGGGGGCCTATGGTCCATGTCCCTTTGTCGTAAAATCACATTCCATACTTTGAGGCTGTGGGTGCGTTATAAAATGACGGTCAAATCCAACTATTAGATAAGATTAACCCAAAAATTACAAGTGTTTTTTGTTGACTTCCCTCTAATCAATTGAAAATTAGGGACGGCTAGTGTAAATAATCCTTATGTTGCTTTGCGATAACGATGAAGCATTTTACACATTTTAGTATAATAGTCAAGGTATCCGTAAACAATGAGGACATGGCATACGAAACCTCCTGTAGAAAGAGTGTCTTGTAACATACTTTGGGGACAGACTTTTCATTTTCGCAACTTGAAAATGCGGACAAACACAACATTTTGTCAAATAATGGTTTGCATTACGTTTTTGTAGGTTGAGAATGGTTATGTATTCTACATAAGGTGTGTCTGATTCGTTTGGAAAGGGCTGTGTTTTCCGTTATTTGTATTTAATTCTGTTGGAACTTATTACATGTATTTCATTATATTGGAAACAGTTAAGAATGCTATTTAGCATGTGCTTGAGTTGTTAGGGAATGCATAAGTAAACTACGTTACATATTTGTGTTACGTTACATGTAATTACAATGCTTAAAACCCATTATGCTATTGAGATGAGTATTACTATTAGAACCTTAAAGTTAAGCATCCACGTATTCAAAATCGTTTGAAGCTTAAAGCAGCTATCTGATAATTAAATTATGTTTAGGAAATTCTAAAGCAGGTTGGCTAGGAGAAATATCTGTTCAACTATATCTAAACTGCCGTCATCTTGGCGCTTGAGGTCTTTAAGAGGAATGGTTAAATCCTGCTTTGTTGTTTGCCGAAAATAGTTGTTTTAAACATTTAGTTGTTAGATAATATATCATACCATTTAGTAATTTTTGTACGTTCCCCAAAATTAAACATTGTTTTAGACGTTACGGTATGACATCGTACTAAGCATAGCAGGAGGAAAAGAAGAAACAACATCCGAAACCACAAATTGTATGCTCCCAAACACTCAGTTTGAGTTTCCTCTAAGAACCGCCCTTCATTAAGGTCAAATGATTCTAAAGAAAGTGCTTTACAAAAATGAACGATGTCAGACACCAACAAAACACTGATCTTAAACAATTAACAAATATGTATGTCATCATTTTAGTTTTTCATACAAATAAATAAAATGCTCCCCCAATTAATGCTTAATTACAAAACAAACAAACAATCCAGTTAAAGCAGTAACTTATATATTTCAATAGTAAACCCGTGGGCCTATGGCCCAAACTTACAGGGTCACTATAATAC